AAAATTTATTGGGCCAAGNTAAATGACGTCAATTCGAAACTGGCTTGAACGTTTAAAGTTCATTTCCTTAGAATTGTCAATAAACTATTTAATTTGAGAATATTACTTTTATTATAATCATTACAGTCTGTAGAATAAACACTTTTGAAATGATTTGCAAATGAATTAACAACTGAGTGGCTACAAGAAAGTTTTTCATATGTTAAACATTATTCCAGGAATTCTTGTTATTTTTTGCTTAGACTGTACGTATGACCAAAATCCTTGCGGATTACTTTTTAAGTTTGTTACAGAATTTCTAAAAAATTTTTCATAATTCTCATCAATTCTTTTTTTGATGGTGCGTCTCAAATTTTTGAACCTTTCCAAGTGAAAGAGTGATTTGTGTTTTTTGTATGATTTGAGATGAGAATTTTTTTTAATATTGTTGAAGAGGGTTCTGGAGTACCAATTAAGATAGTTATGTCAGTGATTCACCTTCATTGGAGTACACTGTTTGATGGTTGTTTGTAGGATTCATTTGAATTTTGTACATATTTGATCAATACGCATAAGATCATTGAATTCACTCCAGTTTATATTGTTTAGTGATGTACTGAATTTTTCATTGTCAATTATCCTGAAATTTATTCGCCTACAGTTAGCTGTAAAATAATTTTCTTTGATAATATCTTGAGTGAACTGAACTGATAATGCAGCTTTTCTAATACTATTTTATATCAAAATACAATTCAAGTTCTCATCGTGGTATAATAACTTATGTCATATATCAAAAATTAAAATGACTATATAACTGCATGATTTTGAACTTGGGCAGCATGTTTTCTATATCCCTTCTTCATTTCAGAGATGAAAAAACAAACATGATTTGTTTACTTTCCTGAAGGAAAAAATCTCAACATCCAATGCTCTTCGGAATATGAGATTTGCCAGCAGGCCCCTTTTTTGAAATTCATTAGCATTGTCTACATCTTTATTGAAGGGAAGATTGAAATAATCCATTAGCACATTATTTTCTTAGAATTCTCAATTTTGAACATTTCAAAACGAAATAAGGGAGTCTCAGATATGGGGTAATACCCTGTGTCATGAATGTAGTTATTTCTGCTACTTACTGTACCTAGATGCTCTGTCCATGGATTGTACTTATATGTAAAAAGTGATAACGAAAATGTGTGAAAAGAAAATAAAAGCCAGTCTATCTCCAGCTGTTGTTTCTATTCAAGGAACTTTAACATGGCGCAGTCGTTAATTACAAGTAGTATTTAATAGTAATATTAGTGATTGATAACAGTTCTGATATGAGTGACTTCAGAGGGATGGCTACCATGGATTTTTCGGGAAATATCTCCGAAAACTGGAAATTATGGAGACAAAAATTTGAAAATTATTTAGTTGCCTCGGAAATGGGAAAAAAGGATGAAAAAATTCAAATAGCCCAACTTCTCCATTACATAGGTGAGGAANAAGTTCAAAACTTTGTACCTTCAGTACACCCTTTGGAAGATTTTGTTTTTTAAGGCTTCCTTATGGAAATCGATCAGCTCCAGAAGTGTTCCATAAACGTTTTAAAAATATTTTTCATCTTGAGGGTGTCGATATATTAGATGATATAATTGTTTGGGGGAGAAATCAAGATGAACATGATGAAAGGTTGAGAAAAGTTTTTGAAATAGCTCGAGAAAATAATGTTACTTTCAATAGAGAAAAATGTAGATTTGGACTTAGTGAAATAAGTTTCTTGGGTCATAAACTAACAAAAGATGGATATTTTTCAGACGAAAATAAAATTGCAGCTGTAAGAGATATGCCTTTACCAAAAAATAAAAATGATGTGCAGAGATTTTTGGGTATGATCACATATGTTGGTAGATTTATACCGAATTTATCTAATAAAAATTATTCACTTCGTGAACTCCTCAAGAAGAATGTAATGTTTGAATGGTCAGATAGACATACAAAATCATTCAATGAATTAAAAAAAATATTGGTTGGTTTGCCTGTGTTGCAATTTTATGATATAAATAAACCGGTAACAGTCTCGGTTGATGCTTCAAAAGATGGAGTGGGTGCTTGTCTTTTGCAAAATAATCTGCCATGTGCTTACGCTTCAAAAGCCCTTACGGAAACACAAAAAAATTGGGCCCAAATAGAAAAAAAAACTATATGCAATACTCTTTGGGTGCGAACGTTTTCATGAATTTGTTTTTGGTAGAACATTCGTTGTAGAAAGTGATCATAGCTCGAGAAAATAATGTTACCTTCAATAGAGAAAAATGTAGATTTGGACTTAGTGAAATAAGTTTCTTGGGTCATAAACTAACACCCTTATTAGGTGTATTCAAAAAGCCTCTAACATCATGTCCTTCAAGATTACAAAAGACGATGATGCAACTACAAAAATTTGATTTCAAAATAGTTTTTAAACCTGGAAAAGATCTTTTTATTGCAGATGCCTTATCCCGATCATAACAAGTGGAAATGATGTTAGTCTTGATGATAATTTGGACATTTGTGTAATAGATACGAACTTTAGAATGACTGATAAAAATATAGAGAACTAGTTGACAAAACTTCAAGTGATTATGAATTAAATTTATTAAAAAGTGTTATAAAATCCGGTTGGCCATCGAAAATTGACAAAGTTCCTTTGGAAATTCGTCATTATTATGATTTCAGGAGTGAAATTATTGAGAGTAATAGGTTATTGTTCAAGGGTCAACAATTAATTATACCTACTGATATGATGATATCATAAAAAAAGTTCATTACGGGCATTTTGGCATACACAAATGCAAAAATCGAGCCAAAGATTGTTTTTACTGGCCCGGCATGTTCAAAAATATTGAAGATGTTATTTCAAATTGTAGAATTTGGTTGAAGTATAGTTGTAACCAACAAAAACAGCCTTTAATGCATCATGAAATACCAACAATACCGTGGTATAAAATTGGGTGTGATATTTTGTATTTAGGGGAAACTATGTATCTGCTTGTTACTGATTATTATACTAAATGGGTAGAATTGATATTATTGGATCAAAATG